GTCCCAGAAGTCCTCACTGCTTGAGAGAGGCAGCAGTCTACGCTTCCCCTCCCAAATACTACCACGGAAGTCCTTCTCCATCCCTAGGCCAGCCACGACTTCACTACTGCTGGGGCTCCGGGCTCTGACGTGGGAGATCCTAGAATGACAGTCCGACCCAGTGGTTCCAGAGGGGACCAAAGATTGTCTGCCATCAAGACCAACCCTATATAAAGATTTTTAGCCAAGAGTTCTTTGCTGGAGGCCCAAAAGGATTTTTTTCTTGACTGAGGTCAAAGCCCTTTGGGGGCTCTGCTGAGTCTAGGTATTTGAGAACTCATTCCTTCGGAGTGGGTAGCTGTCCGCCAGGATGCTGCGGGGGAGGGGAAACAGCCTCCTGCGGAAGGAGCTGCTACTGCTGGGCTGGTGGGGTGCCCTGCCCGTCTACCAGCTGCACCCCTGCCTGCAGCCTCGGCCTTCCACTTCCTGTTCAGCATCTGGGCCTGGAGCTGGGGTTTCTTCCTGCAGAGCTGCCTGGAAAGGAGGGGAGGTGAGCTGCTGACTTTTCCTCTCTCATTAGCTTTCCTTTCGGCCAGGGAGGGAGGAGGGGGGTAGAGGGAGGGGCAAGGGAGGGCGGGTGACAGCTGGCTCCCAGAGCTTCCTGGTCTCTGCCTGGCTTTCCCTCCGCATTCCTTGGCTGGCAGGATGGAAACGCCTGTGGTGGAGAAGCTCCTGGGAATAGGCCAGGCCCCCTCAGCTTCCAGGCCTGTGGTTTCAGTTCCAAGGAGCACCTGGATGAAGCTCCATTGCCGAGTTCTCTCAGGTGGGTGAACCTGGTCCTCATCTCAGCTCCCCTCTGGGGGCCTCTCGTGCTTGTTCAGGTGCCCCCAATCCCATTTCCCATCTTTGGAGCCTGAGGCTCTGGCTGATGAAGCTCCCAAGGGGGCAGCTGGGGCTTTAGTCAAACCCCCAGGCCCAGGTGTCAAGGAAGGCTGCTGACCGCCACCCCCCCCTCGAGAGCATCACCCCCGAGGCCGCTTCCACAGAACTGTTCGCAAGGAGAAGAGGACGTTCCCTGCTTCTCCTCCCCAGGGAGCTTCAGCCACTGCTCGGAAAGGGACAGCCAAATGGCGCTGCTGAGCCTTGGCAGAAGGAGCTTTGCTTCCTGTCCCCTCCTCCTATGCCTCCTGGGTCCTCTGTGTCAGAGTCAGCCCGTGGCGGGTGGGGGGTGTGTGGTGGCTTGCAGGAGACCCTGAGGGAAGGAGCATGCATAAGAGAGAGCAAGGGGGCAGCAAGCCTTTCTGCTCTGGCCACCCTCACACCCGCCTCGTCCGCCAGGAGGGTGGCAGAGAACGAACAGCAGGCTGCTGGGCGCTGATCGGCAGGGAGTGGTCTGGAGTTTGAGAAGTCCCCGCTCCACCAGGTGGTCACAACAGGACCCCCACCAAGCAGTCAGAGGAGGGGGACAGGGAGGCAAAGATGAGCCACAGTGGTGGCCCTCACGCTCCCCGCGGTGGCTCTCCCGTTTCACAGCCATGGTGGGAGGAAGCCTCCCAGTGCACAGGACTCAGGGGGAGATAGGCTGGGTTCATATAATCCGAAACCATGTGTGGGTCCATCCTTCCCCTTGTGAGGCAGCTGTAGGTTAGAGTTCTCGGACTGGGCCTCCTTGGAGCAGACCCCCACCATGTGCAGTGGTGTGGGTCATTCACTGCCCAAGGGCAGCTGAAGGTCAAGTAGGGGCTGAAATCCAGACTGCACCATGCTTGGTCAGCTGGCCCTCTGTGGGGCTGGGGCCCATCGGGGGTGTCCTGTCTCCTGTTTTGAATGAAGGTTCCACCTTCATTCAAGGTGCATGGTTGAACCATGCCATAGACTTTCAGTTACCTTTGGTCTTAGACATGAGCCTTCCTACCAAATCAGCAGGGCTTTGTGCATGCCCCGGGGCTTGAGTGCCCTGCAACTGCATGATGTTTGGCATAGCATATCCCCCTAAAAAATGCATTGTATACTCAAGTTCTGGGTGACTCAGAATGAAGTTTCCACTGGAAGGAGAAGCTCACAGAGCTGCCTCTACTGGGCATTGCAAGGCTCGTTCTGCACCCAAACTAGCATGGCCCCAGCAGCTTCCATGAAGCACATGGAACGACTCCTTAGCATCTCCTGGGAAAGAGGCCATCTCTGGCCTTTAACAGATAAGCCCTCCATGTCATAAGACCTCTTAAGACTTGGAAACAACAATTTGCTATCTTCTTTTACCAAGAAAAGAAAGGACACTGGCATGGGAGGACAGCTGATGGGGCTCTCCGACCACCTGGATCCAGGCCTCTTGCCATCATTTAGTCCTAACTGGAAGCTGGCCCACATCCTCGGTCCACGAACTGTGTAGCTTCACTCCTTAGTTTTTTCATTGTTAGTCCCATGACATGGATGGTCTTCTTATCCACCTTTCCCAGTAATGTGGGAATGCTATTCAACTAGTCTTTCATTGATTTTTATAGTTTGCAGGAGATGGCAAATGACAGAGTCATACAGATCTCCCTTTAGAGAGATCTAGCACGTTACGGACAGTATATCCGGAAAATGGCTACCAGATTGCAAAGCGTATTGGTTGGTGGGTTAATTCCATTTGGTTAGAACACTGGGATGTTTTAGACCAAGTTCTGGGGTTCCAGCCTCAAATCCTCTGAGAGTTGCCACTGTCCTACAGTCACAGACCATTTCCTCAGACACAGCCACATCTTGGGATGTGGTGTTGCCCCCAGGGCACAGGAAGTGTGGAGGCATCAATGCAAATCCATTTTCACCACTGGAACCGTAAACTTGGAATGCACCGCCCATTAGGGTCATCACAAAAAGAACAGCAGGGAATTTATAATCTTTTTTTTTTTTTCTTCAGTTTGGACCTTTTATCATATAGATGCCAAAAATCTCAGAAGCTTGGAAGATTTTTCTCCTCCAGCTAGCCCTGAAAACATCTCTGTAATTTGTCCCACATGCACACTTGAGACAACTGGAAGGTGTCTGGTATTTTCTCGTTCCAAATGCTTTGTTAACGGACTTCACAAAACCACTGACCCAACACTACTTCTGGGAGGAAGGGACATGGATAAAAGCTCTTCACAGAGCTTCACCGAGATCCTTCTTGGCTTTCCCGATACCACTTCTTGTGAAAAGCAGCCTGGAGATGTGTGAACCTCTTGTCTGGGGACCAGCCTTTCTCTCTCACACCCTGAGCCCACATGGTCAAGCTGAAGGGTTTCCACGGGGCTCTGGGAGCTCTCCTCTCCTGCAATTTGCACCCAGTGGTCCAGCTGGCCTCACAGGACACTCTCGGTTTGTCGACAGAATCCTTAAGCTTCCTCTACCCACAGCATTCACCTCAAAAGCAAGAGGGAAGCCTGGGTTCCCACCATTCTGCATAGGGCCTCGGGGGTGGGTAAACTCCATAGGCCTTGCCTCTGACAGCCTCTGGCAGCTTCTGGGTGTGGGAAGCCACACAGCCATGGCAAACCAGCCACGAAGACACACCAGGGACCTCAAGCCTTCTATTTGGCACGTTCTGATTTCTCATAAGGAAAGGCCACAGAGAGAGAGCGAGCGAGAGGGAGAGAGAGAGAGAGAAAGAGAGAGAGAGAGGACCAAAGAAGCGAAGGGGTGAACACACATATCTTAAATCCCCTCCTACCACAGCTATTGTGATGTTTACATCTATAGCAAATTCAAAATCATGTTTAAATTCCGTAAAAATGCATCTAGCTATGACAGATTGCTTTCAACCCAGAATTCTTAGAATTTATGTTAAAAAGATGAACGAGATATATGGATCACACAAGGGTCAGGTTTATAAGGACTCTCATCTTCAACAGAGGGGGAAGAAGAGGGCAAGTCAGCATCAGTGGGTTGCTGTCTTTTGGGAAGGGAAATGGGGCATGGGCATCCTGTTCTCTGGCTGCCATTTTGCTTCTCCCTGGTCTGACATTAACAGTGCTGGTTGGGCTCCATGGACTCAGCAGCTTGTTTTTGATGAGTGAGGGGCTAGGTGAGCCCAAATCCTTCCTGAACACTAAGGCCTATGCTCGAATCTTGGAGAGAATGTCACGAAGAGGAGAGATGGGTCTGTGGTGTTCTACAGACCCCAGGACAGAAGAATCTGCACCATGCGCCATGGGGAAGGTCTACGAATTCAGAGGTCTTGCCTCTTACCACGGGGTCTCCTATCTGCCACCGTGTTGCTCTCCAGCCCCCTTGAAGCTGGATGTGCATGAGAAACAGGCCACTTCCCTACAAGAAGAGTCAACCTGGAGCCCACCTTCACTCCAGTCAAGGCCCCAGGGAACTTGATCAGGCCTTGACCCTGGAGAGCACAGGGACTTCCTCCGCTTCATGCCTACTGCCCCTCCTCTCCCTGTCCCGCTACGTGGATGAGGCTGACAGGGACCGTAAGGGACGTCGGAACTCATGCAGAGGCCACTAACACACACGCCAGCTAGATGGCATCGCCAGGACCCATGCAGCACGGCACCTTCTGCCCCCGCAAAAGCCGCTACGTGGCAGCATCAGCTCGCGACCTGCACCTGTGTGATGGCTAGAGCTCACGGATGGAAATTTGGATTTTTTTTTTTTTTTTTTTTTTTTTAGATGAGCTATGGTTCTGAGCCAATCTATTTCATGGTACAGTTCGATGGCCTTCTCCCTGGGCTGCCACAGAAGATGCACACGCCGTGCAGCCCTAAGGGCAGCAGGGTCCTTCCTCCTCAAAGCCCCGAACAGAAGATCAAACGCACGGCCCGAGGCTGGGCGGCGGTGTGCACCTTCTGCAGAGGGAGGTGCTCAGGGTCTGCACCCCCACCCCTAGAAGAGAAGCGGCAGACGCTCGCAAAAGAAAAAGGGTGTATCGAGTCGGGGAAAGCCCTGGACTCCCTCCCTCCCCGAAGGAAACGACAACCAACAACAAAAAAATTGAAGAAACAAAGAAAAACCAGAAGAAACGTTGAGGGAAGAAAACCAGCCGAACTTACCACACTGCGAGTGAACTTTTCTAAGGAAGTTCTACGACCTTGCTCACTTTCTGGCTTTAGGGGGGGAAAAAAAAAAGGTAGGGAGAAAAATACAGAAAAAAAAAACTCTTCAGCTTACATGTGGTTTCCAAACAGCAGCAGCGGCAGCTAATGAACAAAAACAACAGCAAAACAGGGGGAAAAACGGGAGAAGAGAAGCAGCCAGCGCCGTAGGTGATAGGCAGCAGGAGAGACAGCAAACAGAAGCCTGCCGGAGATGGTGCTGCCTCATTAGGAAAGGGGGTGTTTGCTTCTAAGGGCACCGCCCGTGGCACTGTGGGGCTCGGAGTCCAAGCCTCTGTGCCTTTGCACGGGACTCCGCCTGCTCCCTGTGTCCCACGGGCTGTGCTCGCAGGCTGGCACCCCTCATTTGCCCCCATCTGCAGGCAGATGCCTGGGGGCCTCACATGGGGACCCAGAACAGACTACCCCTGAAGGCTGGGGATCCTGATGGGATGTCAGGAAGTGGCTCTGGGCAAGGTGAGGTCACCAACGCCTCTGGAAGTCGGGCTTAGGACTCTGCGATTTTTTTTCCCCACCCAGATGCAGCCAGAAATTTCACTCACTCCAGGGACTTTCTACTGGTCCCCTGTTGACTTTCATTCTGTGACCTTAGAGCAAGGAGGGTCTGCCCACGCCCGCTCTGTTGACAAAATGTTTTGGGCCTCAGAAGAAGTGTTTCGAACAGAAAGTGCCCTCTCGGTGTGTAGACAGGTGACCCCTTCTGAGGTTTACGCTGGGCAGGTGACAGGAGGCTCAGGGACCCCTGTGGAGAACTCTTAGCTATGGAGCCCCTGCCAGGGGCAAGAAGAGGCAAAGCCCTTGAAACCTCCTCCCAGGACTAGTCACTCACTACCACACAGTACCATAGGACGAGAGGAGGGTGTGGTGTGCTCCTGGCCCTCTCCCTAAGTTTCCTGCTTTGCCAAGAGGTTTGGGAGAGAATTACATGAATTACATCCCAAATACTGGCTAGTTGATCCTAGAGCCGTCCTAGAGCCCTGTTCTAGGGTCTTGAGCCCGAGACTGGGAAATCTGGAGAGTACAGTCACTCACATGGAAACACACACACATTCTCTCTCTCTCAGCAAAAATGGAAAGTGGAGAGCTGAAGGAGCAGCCAGGTGCCTGTGGATCTGCAGGGTGCTAGAAGCAGGGGGTGGGGTGCGTGTGGGAGGAAAGGGCAGCCACCTGTCTGTGCGGTCAAGGCCAGAGGGCTTCTTTGGTGGTGGTCACGCCCCTATCCCCTCTGCTGGCTGCCAGGAGACAGGACGTCGCAGAAGGAAAACACAACACAACACACACATACACACACGACACACCATGGCAGAGCCAGGCTGGTCCTTTTCCTCCCACAAGAAGCCAAAGGTTACCGTACCAAGTCTTGGCTCTGGGGACGGCAGGACTCAGCTTCCATCCTGTGCGCGGCATAGGCGGCACACACTCGGCTGGGGTCGGGCTGGTCCTGGGCCCTGCAGCTAGCACGATGTGCCTGTCATTCTTGTCGTCTGGCTACTGTGTTGCTGCTCACAGATGGGCACCATTTTCTGACTCATTCGGGTTCCTGCCTTGCGTATCCTGGAGGAGCCCTGGAAACCCAGCTCACCTGCCCCTTGAGAACCTGCTTTGCCAGAATAGCTAACCTTATCTTTGACAATATTGGGAAAGAGGATGACCTAGGGAGGAAGGCTTGGGAGGCTGTGGCTCCAGACTCCACCACAAGATGGAAAGGCAATAAAGTGAGGTCGGATGAGATTCCCTCTTGTGGCTGGAGCATGGGACCTCTCACGTACCTTGACGACCTGGACATTGATATCACACGGCAAGCCCATCTCTGACATCAGGGTACTTCTAGGCCTACCTGAAAATGCCGAGTTACAACTCCAATCCACACCTGGAAACTCTCAGGGAGAAATGGAAGAAAAAGTAGGTTTTGTCACTGTTTTTGGAAACGATGAACCCCTGGATATTGCAAGGGTACTGGCATCTGCAAGAGTTTTTCTGCCGGAGAACATCCCTTCATCTGGGGGCTGGGAGGATCATTCTAATCAGTTTCACATGTAACATTTCACAGGCAAGCTGTTGTGGGTCCCTTCCTCACGGGAGCGATCTCCTTTGAGAAGTTCTCCTCTTACGGGAGGACCCGTGGGCACAGGTGTCTCGGCTCCACTTCCTGAGCTGGAGTGTGTTACCCCTTTGTGTTCAGACCTCTAAGAGGACTGCATGGACTGTGGCTTCTCCTGGGTATGCGGATGGGCCCAGATAAGCCAAACTGTTAGAAACTCAGAGTGTCTCCAAAGTGTGATCAGTTCAGGGTCTTGAGGCAGGAGAAATTGGAACATTCATTTTGGCCTTCTCCCATGAGATCTGGGCTGGAGATACCAGAAGTGTCCATAGCTTTTCTTGAAAAAATGGGCATCTGACGTTCCCCTCCATCAGAACCCTTCTACCTACACCCTCCTGCAAGGCCAACAGCAAGAGGCCAGGCTTCACATTTTCCATCAAAGAGTGACACTTGTTGGAAGCGGTGCAGGCAGCCATTAAAGCTGGGTTTCTGACAGCTTGGGCATTCCAGAATTCCCTTTCCCTTCCTCAGACTATCAGGAATATTCTCAGGGCTACCTCACGTCAGAAGAACGGGAAACAAAGGCTGTTCTAGACCCTGGAGTTCAATGGTACCAACCAGATACGTAGACAGGATCCTGGCACATGAGGGAGACAGACAGTACACAGAGAGGAGGACTGTGTGGCCGGGAGAGGCAGCCCGACGGAGGGCGCATGGGTGGACAGCCGTAAGCTCAGGGACTGGGGTTGGCTGCGAGGGGAGCCGAGGGGATATCCATGGTCCTGAGTGGCGTGGCACGGAAGCTGTGGATTTGGGTGCAAGGAGAGCCACACTTAAACACACATGGGCCTCGGAGCAGAGCTGCAAAGCGCAGAGGGTTTGCAGGCAGACTGGAGTCCCAAACCATCTCTCCTGCCTCCCCTTTCCCAGACCCCAGGCCCCTCCCGGCTCTGCCTGCCCTCGTCCCAGAAACCCAGCAGAGTTCTTCCTGTTTCAGCTGCCCCTTGTCACCTACATGCTGTGAGTCCCTGGGCGCCCCCAGTCCAGATGCCAAGGGCTGCAGGGAACCATGACTTGATTCCAAGGGGAGGAGAATTATGAAGCTAGGGAGCAGTTATTTCGTGGCTGAAAGAAAAGGCAAGCACTGTGGGGCATCGGGGAAGGGACAATTCCAGGAGTTACTTCTGGGGCCAGATTGGGGTCTGGGGGGAGGACTTGAAATCTGTAAGGTTTTCTACCCAGTGAGGGGGTTGCCCCGATCCTTGTCTCATCCTCATCGCTGAGCAGGTCAGATTTTACCTAAAGTCTGTGGTAAGGGGGTCAGACTTTGCAGTGAGGGGCTCTTTCCGGTTTCCTAAGGGATTTGCGGATGTCACCGCCAGTCCTGAAATCTTATGTTGAGACACCGTGGCCTTGATATTTAGTCACACTCCCTGCTGTGGGCAGAACGCACAGGCCAAGGTAATGGGGCCGTGGAGACAGGATGCCACACCCTGGACCTGGGGGGTGGGCTGAGGTGGTGACTATTCTACTTGTCTTCCCGTAGAGTGGGAGCAGACAGAGAGGGGAAAGAGGAAAAGAGAGAATAAATAAAACCCAAGGGATGATACTCTCATTGGACATCAGCAGCAAGCAGCAAGGCAAGGGTTAACAGTGCTAAGAAAGGCGGGCCTGCCCTTCCCAAAGATACCTTCTTCTTGGCCAGCAGCAAGTCCTGGTAAGCGTTCGACCGGAGGAAGCGAGCATAGCTGTCACTCTTCATCAGCTTGTAGATGTGTTCCTGGGAAGGAAGGAGGAGGGAAGACACGAGAGAGAGCTGTCAACTACGGCTAAGGAAAGGGGATCATTTGGGTTCCTGTTTGAAGAAAGAGACAGAGGTACGCTTGTGTGCATCTAGAAACACTTGTGGTATGTTTGTTTTGTTCTTTTCCCACCCAGAAACACCAAACAACCTATATCTTCTCCCTTAGAATGAGATCTCCTTGAGGATCGTGTCCCAAAGGCTTTGTAATTGGGCCTTGGTGCCACGCGGAGATGCAATATTGCTTAATGGTTAAAACCACAGGCACAGCCGTGAGCAGGAACCAACTAGTGGTACACCCAGCCACTTGGATGAATCTCGAGGGATTTATGGAGGGAAAGAGCCAGTCCCCAGAAGGTTACACACTGTACGATTCCATTTGTATAACATTCTTAAAATGACAAATTACAGACACGGACAATAGATGAGTGGTAGCCAAGGGGTAAGGATGCGAGGGGGATAGGGAAGGGTGTGGTTATAAAAGACAATATGAAGGATTCTCGGGGTGACGGAGTTGTACAGAACTACACACACACACACACACACACACACAAGTACAGGTAAAATTGGGAAACTGGATACACTTGGTGGACGTAGCAATGTCAAATTAATGGTTGTGATATCATTCTATGGTTTGCAGATGTTACCATTATGGGAAATTGGGTAACTGGTACATTTCTGTATTAGGTCTTACAGCTGCATGTGAATTGAGAAGTATCTCAAATTAAAAAAAAAACCAGGGCGCCTGGGTGGCTCAGTGGGTTAAGCTTCTGCCTTCGGCTCAGGTCATGATCTCAGGGTCTTGGGATCAAGCCCTGCATCGGGCTCTCTGCTCAGCAGGGAGCCTGCTTCCCCCTCTCTCTCTACCTGCCTCTCTGCCTACTTGTGATTTCTCTCTGTCAAATAAATAAATAAATAAATAAAATCTTAAAAAAAAATAAATAAAATCTTAAAACAAAAACAAAAAAAGCCCCAACTCCATAGGCAACGGTGCAATTAGGTCAGTTGTGCCTGTTAGAGCCACCCTCCGGTCCTGGAAGGGTGCCCTTGGCAACCATCTATGGGGCATGTGAGCAAATACGCCAGGCCTAAGGCTTACATCCAGGAGGGGCAGATGCTGTGGCGTGGTGCCCTCTCCTCGCCCGGGCTTCTAGAGGCATTTGCATTCTGGCCTTGTTGCTGAATTTCACCCTTGACTTCTAGCTAATTCCTATAGTCTGTGGGCCCTTCCTCACAGATCTGTCCTCACCAAGGGCAGGGTAAGCGGGAGCCTTAAAAGAGGGCATTTGTTGATTGGAAAAAGATTATTTATCAGTTGTGATGGAATAAATGTGGCTCAGCTGTCCAGGAAAACCTGGCTGTCCCAAGAGAGGACCTGTTAAGAGGAGTGGTGGGCTTTCCCTAGGGAGGATGGGTTTGCTGGCAGAGGCTGGCTTGGTAGAGGAAGCATCTTCTCTTACATACACGCACTGTTCATCCCATGAAGCTGGACGAGGGCTTCGGGGCTCGGGGCAATGAAGAGTTGGACAGTGAGGGGAGAGTGCTCAGCTGAGAGGCGGGACTGGTCACTAAGGGCCTTCTCCCTTGGGACTTGCCTTCCAGTGGAGGGTAGAAGAAGTCTCCCCTCAGCAGGCGGGCACATTTTAGAGAGGCCTGGCCAGGAGCCAAGCAAAATTCATGGAGGCAAGCAAAATTCAACAGTGGCTTGGATCTGAACCGAATTTGATAATCCAGATGTGGTGCATTTCATAAACTCAGTGAGAACACGCTTCCCCTAGTGTTTTCCTGCAATTTTCAGACAGAAATCCAGCCCACTTTAGTGTAAGTTCCGTAAAGGTAGAAACAATATGTCTTTATCTCTTACATGTACAAGGTCAAGCACGGGGATTCAGTGTTAGTGACATTGTTTCCAGGTTCACGGACGGGCTGGCGTGAGTAACATTCTGTGAGTTTATAGGCACCATACTTGTGACTTCTGCTCGCCTCAGCTCCTGCCCTCTGCTTGGAAGGGGAGTGGGGCTCACACGCAGCTTGAAGGAATCCCATGTGTGAACATCTTGGATCATCTCTAATGGCCTCAGAGCCTAGGCTGAGGCGCTCTACTGGTCTTTGTTTTTATGTGTGGTCTCTTTAAATTGTTCTACCGTTTAAATCATAGGTACAAATGTTAATGACTCACTGTCTCTTTCTTCTTGTCTCCGGCATTGCTTGTGTCTGGCTACAGAGCCAGGTGGCTCCTGAGTCATCTGGAGAGACCCGCCGTTCATGCCTGGACCCTCTCCAAACCCCTCTGCGAGGTAACAGGCTCCTGCTTCTCATCCTGGCTTCTCAGAGGAATCCAAATCCCAGGTCTAGCTCACAACCACACCCCTCCCCGTACTGCCCCAAGAGAAGTAAGGAGATCCCTCCTAGTCCAGCACTTCCGGCCGTGGCAACAAACTTCGCCCCTCACCTAGCTAATTCCTCCAGCCTCAGTGGAGGATGGAAAAGCCTGGTCCATTAGAAGGATGAACTTGTCAATTAAAAAAGAACAGGATAAAGCACATGTCTAAACATTTCGTCACAGAAACAGTCAGCAAATATTTAATGAGCGTCTATTAGGAGCAAGCACCCTGTCAAGCATTGAGGTGACAGACTAAGTCCCTGCTGTCATAAAGCTTAGAGTCTATGAAGCAAGATTGAAACACAAAGCCATAGACTACAAATCCCAGAGCAGTTTTAGGTCCCAGCCGCTCATGAATTTTGCGTGGCTCCTTGTGGTGGGCTCACTCCCGTCAGCAACTTCTGTAGACCTTGGGGCATATTGGAGCTAAGGGCTCCAAGGTAGCAGTGTAAGCACAGGGTGTTGAGAATAGGTGTATATGGGATGACCCACTCTGTCAGAGTAGGGTATGGCCTCTGCCACCTCCGGGCCTCCATTTCCCACAGTCCAGTGGTCCATGGCTGCCCCCTACCCTCCTCTGCTCCCCCAAGCCAAGAAATGGGGCCTTTGATAGACCCAGTTATAGAACTCTGTTCTTTCCTCCTTGCCAGCTTTGTCTAAGAAGCACAAAGACAGTAAACAGGGGGTGGGTAAATGGAGAGCCGAGGTTTTTCTGGGAATGAGAATTAAGATGGGACTCAGGGTCTTTGGCCAATTCCCAAATGCGATGAGTTTATCACTGCCAGGGACAGCAAGTGTACAAAGCTCTTGGCAGTGACCTCTACTGATTTATGGGAGGTTCTGGTTTGTTTCCCCTGCTCTGAAGACAACCAGTCTTAAGGGAAATGTATATCCAGAATCTGCAAAGAGCCACTGGCAAAACCAGGAAGCCCCCACTGACAGAATTCCTCAGGGGCTAGAGAAAAAGTAGTTTGGTCTTCTCTTTTCTTCTTTGCCTTTTCTTCCACTCCCCTCCTCCCCTCCTTCCCTTCCTCTCTGTCCTTTTCCTCTTCTTTTTCCCTTTTCTCCTTCTTCATTTCTTTCCTCCCTCCCTCCCTCCCTCTCTCCTTCCCTCCCTCCCCCCCCCCCTTCCTTCCTCCCTCTCTCTCTTTCTCCTCCTCCTTATGCCTTCTCCCCCTCAAGAAGAGATAGCTGAGTTGACTATGAACAAGTAGAACTAGCAGGGTCCCCATCTGTCTTCCTGACACATGGGAGAGTGAGGACGGTTCTCCACAGCCTGAGCAACGGACTCTTTAGGGCCCTAAATCCTCCCGAACATCTTAGCCGCAGTTGTCAGCGTGGGGAAGGCATCACACCCCTGTGGGAGCTGACAGCCATAGCACAGGGATGTCACCCTGACGAGACACTCCACTCGCATCTCCCTTTTTGGGCCCAGGCCTGGGATGGGAAGCTCTGCTCGCCCGGGATGCTAAGGCGAAAGCAATACAGGAACCCGGAGGGTGCGAGATACATGTGGGCACTGGAAGGAGCGGGAAGCACACGCTGGCTCAAAACCACACCTGCTTCAAATCAATGCTTTGCTATGATGGTCCTCATTTGGGAATCTCCTGTATTTTTAGGCAAAACACAGGGACCCTCATAAGCACTGGGGAGGGTCATCAGACAAATACCTGGCGCCTTGGGCCCCAAGCATGCTGGAGCAGCTGACTTGCTTAAGAGCACCCTCATGTCCTCCTCTTTGAGGTGGGTGTCTAAGACAGCGACCATATCATTTCCCAGCTTTCGCACATTCCCCTGGAGTGGGACACCACTCAGCTCGAGCATTGGGCACCTGCTGAGAGCCCTTCTTGTGATTTTTGAGTGCACTGTTTTTCTTTTCGCAGAGACATGGGCCTCATCGCTGCTCTCCACCCCCCCAGATTTCCTGGAACAACATCCAGACTTTGGGGACTGCTGGGTCCATCGTAATCCCTTGGAGGAAGGTGAGACTGTAGGGTAGAAGAGGGTGTTGCTGGGCAGAGAGGTGGAAGCGAGCCTGGGCTGGACGCCGAAGGCTTGGATTCAGGTCCTGACTCTTACCCCTCTCCGGCCCTGCCTATCACACAATTCAGTGAGGACACTGAAGTGAGGGCATGATAGAAACTATATACATGTAACGTAATAATAACAATCAGCCTTCATGCTGTGGCCGTCCTTGCTAGGGAGGACATGGGGGTGAGCCCAAAGATGGCAGGATCCCTGGGGTGGGAGGTAGGTCGAAGCAGAGCCATAATTTAGTTGCTGTTGTGTGCTCTGAATCAGTGCTTCAAGTTAAACAACCCCATTTTACGGACGAGGATTCTGAAACTCTGAAAGGTTAAGGGATTGGTCCACGTACAGAGCTAGGATTTGAACCCAGAACTGTGTGACCCTCCCCTCAAAGCTTGTACTCTTCCCTGGCATGTTGGTTTTCACCGTCCTTGAGCTGGAGTTTTGGGGGGAGTCAGTGTTGCGTGACCGGGACAAGAGGTCCTCAGTGTGTCCTTGGCAGAAACATAAAGGGTCTCTGCTGGAGTCCTGAACTGAGTCATCCTGGTGGTAGATAAGCTGCCCTTTG